GGGGGGGGGGCTTCTTCCGACTGTCACAGACGACCCCTCTCGACCCCGGACAATCCAACCGCTGGAGGCATGCATGGGGCGCACCTCACCGAAGAGCCATAAGAAACGGCGCGTGTTGGTGCCGCCGCAAGCCTGCCTTGTCCCGCAGCAGCAGCTGCAACTACAGAGCAACAACAACTACAGCAGCAGCAGCAGCAGCAGCAGCAGCAGCGGCAGTCGACGACGACGTCCACTGAGGTCCCATCTCTCCTTGCATTTGCCAACACCCTCCAACGTGAAACAACAAAACAACAGCCACCGCGCTGCACTCAAAAAAAAAAAAAAGCGTGGCTTGCTGACTGTACCATAAGCCATTAAAAACAAACACCTCGGCCAAGAAAGCCGCGCGAAGATTGTTCGCGCAACGCAAGTCTTGTGCCGTTTGACTTGGAGAACACTTGGTTCGCTCACCGTAACCAACCACGCACCCTACGCCCAAAGGAAAACGGGACCTCGGAATGGAGGCAGCCCTGCGTGAGCAGGCCAATTCATACGACAAACCAAACTGAAAGAACGCGCGAGCACAAGACACGCAAGACGGGGACACAGCTAATCTGTTTCGTCTCTTTGCTGTTGGTGCGGCACGGCACACACTCTTGCCCCCCCTCCCCCCCCCGTATCTGACGCACAGGTCAGATTGATTCCTTCAATTCCGTTGGGAATCACACACACGGACACACTGCTGCTACTGCTGCTGCTGCTGCTGCTGCTGCTGCTGCTGCGTTACGAACCACACTAAGAAAACACACACACAAAACGCCACACAACGAGAGACAAACACGACCCTTTTCGTACCCCCGTCCATCAAACATTTCACCAACACCGTGGTTCGCCGAAAATTCCAGGAAATTTCCTCAGAAAACAAAACCCGACCCAACAAGACTGGACGTGATCTCGCGCAACATCCCAGTCGAGATGTCCAGCGCCTCACAAAACTTGCGCCAGCCCGTACCAACGACCGGTACTTGATTTCCCGAGATCCGACGACCAGCTGTGCACGCTGATTGGCTCGCGAACTGCGACCCACTGCGGCCTTTGGTTCATTCACTTAAGTCCGATCCGCTGCGGTCATTGGTTCGCTAGGTCCGACCAGCTGCGCGCATTGATTGCCGACCCGCTGCGGTCATTGGCTCACGAGGTCCGACCAGCTGCGCTCATTGATTGCCGACCCGCTGCGGTCATTGGCTGCTCACGAGATCTGTGCTCGGCGCTCGGCTGCTCGAATCCAGACCTGCCTGATCTTTCGGGTACGGTCGGCGGACCGGTCCTCGGAATCCTGCTGCACCCGAAGGTCCACAATACGAACATATATACATGTATGTACGACGACGAGACAAGCGAGAAACAAGAGAGGAAGGAGTTCGAACTGAGGGGCGTGCTTCTTGTGGGAACACCTTCGCGCGAGATCAAAAGTTTTGCGAGGACATAAATACCGTATATGACACAAGATATCACACCCCCTGGACCAATTTTTAAAGCTCGATTACTCCACGACGAAGAGGACGTATTCATGAAACAATACAGCTTCAGAGAGCTCTCGACGAGACAGCTTCAACGCCACCGTTTTCGGCGCTGTGACTCTCTCTGTTGTTGATAAATCGAGATTTGAAAATCGGTCCAGGGCGTGTGTTACCTTGTGTCATTTACGGTAAATAGAATAGAGAGAGGGGACGCAGACCCTATTCCCTGACCCAACTTCCCCGAGTGTAAGCCTTATCCAACATGTTTGCCTTATACGAAAAACCTGCCAAGGCTACTGTTCTTGTGGGGGTCTACGGAAGGAAGTGACCACTGGAATTCGGCATTCTACACTACGGTAGCTGTTCTTTTCTTTCGATCATTCTGTTTTCTTTTTCCGAGTGGTTTGTTGAACCCTGTTTTTGTTTTGTTTCCCCGCGGCGTCGTATGTGCCGGGTTTCGAGACCACGGGCTCCCCATTTTTGTGGACTTGAAGAGCCAATGTTAGAAACAACAACAAAAGTACGTAGGTGTGCGAAAATATTGAAACTTCTCACACCCAAAATATTGAAAATAAAACAGAAAATTCGGAGCATGTGAATGCGTCTTATCGCCTCCAACTTCGTCTTATTGTAAAACGCAAAATATCGAAGAAAAGCAGAAAAAATTCAGAGCACGCGAATGCCTCTTATACCTTCAACTTCTAACACGCAAACTATTGAAACACAACACAACACAAACAACAGTTCTGAGCACGGGAATACCTGCTTGCCCCAAACTTTTTCACACGCAAAAGAAAAAAAAAAAAAACAGAACAAAATCTACAGCTGCAGTGGAGAAGAAAAATCTCCAAACGGGTAGGGAGTCCACGGTGGCGCGTTCTGCAGACATCGTTACACACAACAGTCCAGAGCACGTGGCGCCAAGACTGGAAATAACCAATACACCCGTTCGAGAGATACCCACACTCGAACGGGATGTGTTGGGAGTCCTTTCGGTGAGTGGAACGAAAACCGGCTGTGGGTATTGGGCGTATTTCAAGTCTTTGTAAGGCTACACACTGATGGATGTATATCAGTGATACCAGCTGGTGGGAAGTACAACAACACCTATGATGGCGGTGCGCCATGATGACCTACCGTCGACAGCAACGAACCCGCCCCTCCGTTCGCTTCACGTCCACCGCCGCCGCCGCCGCCGCCGCTGCCGCTGCTTCCGGCTGTATTGTTGCTGCCGGGCGGCCATGTCCCGCCGCTGTCGGGGCTAGCGTCTTCCGATGCTGAGATCCGCTTGTTGGCCCAAGCCACGCCGTCGAGAACGGTCTCCCACAGGACCCCGCCGAGCAGGCCGAGGCCCGTGCTCTGAATGAAAAAAAAAAAGGAAACACGCTATGGATTTATTGCTTGTCTATTTCATCGAACATGACACAAGATACCACACCCGCTGGACCAATTTTCAGAGCTCCATTACTCCATGACACAAGATACCACACCCGCTGGACCAATTTTCAGAGCTTCATTACTCCACGACGAAGAGGATGCATAAACGAAACGATGCATTTTCGAAAAGCTCTCTCGACGAGACGGTTTCAACGCCGCCGTTCTCGGCGCTGTGACTGTTCCTGCAATTGAGAAATCGAGCTTCAAAAATTGGTCAAGGGGTTTTTTTATCTTGTGTCATATACGGTAGACTCTTTTCTTATGATAGAGATGTATTCGTCATTGGGTGATATTAGGAAGATAACATGGATAACCAGATCAAAAACAGGGGAGACATTGCGCTTGTGTGCTGCTCGGGAAATCGTGGAAATACAGCTAGCCTTCTCTAACGGTATGAATTGAATTGATTGCTAATCTATCGTACTCTTGTTTTAGATAGAGATGGATTCGTTGGCAAGTATTCAAGAAAAAAAAAAATGGAAGGCGCGTATTCGGTCGCCCCGGTAGTCTAGTTGGCATCCTCGAAAGCCTTCTAAATTATGGCCAGGGTCAGGGGATTCGAATCCCGGCATAAGGCCGTTTGTTACGGTATCTTTTTGGGACCACGACTGCTCTAGAAAAAAAAAATGGAAAAAAAAAGATACAGGCTCTGTCCAGATATATTGTTGTGGTACCCAGAATAGTGAAATGCCCGATATCAGGTGGAGTCAAAATCTCTCTTGTTACATTCTCAACATGTGGTTTGATACATGAACCCGATATACTATGGCATCGAATTGCAGTGGTACTGCCCTGAATAGTAGCCTACCGTATACGACACAAGATAACACACCTCCTTGACCGACTTTCGAAGCTCGATTTCTCAACTGCAGGAACAGTCACAGCGCCGACAACGGCGGCGTTGGAACCCTCTCGTCGAGAGCTCTTCGAAAATGTATCGTTTCGTTTATGCATCCCCTTCGTCGTGAAGTAATCGAGCTTTAAAAACATCGGTCCAGGGGGTGTGTTATCTCAAGTCATATACGGTAGTGGCCTATTCTCCTCTTGCCCCACACGCCACTATATCGGGACCACCACCGTAAATGTAAGGCGCGCATCCGGTCGCCCAGGTAGTCTTATTTCTTGGTATCCTCACTACCTACATTGTGGCCCGCGTCGGGGGTTCGAATCCCGGCGTAAGCGAGCATTTCCTTGCAAACTGAGTTTTTCTCTCGCTTCCGTTCCTGGCCGGGGTGGAAAGCGCTACTCACAGTTCGCGTCTACACACAGAGGGAAGAGAGAGGTGCACTCTTGTCGCATTAAATATCGAAGGCAAAGTACCGTAGGAGGGGCCGGTAGGGGGCCTCAGGGGACCCTTCTGTGCAGCCACGGATTGGAGTAAACGGCACAACGGATGTGAGCGCAGATTTGAAGACGACAAACAACTATATTTGTGGTGTTGCATATGCCCTGAAAAAATATGGTATTCCGTACCACATTTTCGGGGATGTTCCAAAAAGTGAATAAAACAATTCCCCGGAACCCCACCCAGCATCCGTAGGCCTGTGCTCTGAAAGAGCAAAAATATGAATATAGGGGGTGGTTATATTTGAAAACAAAAAAACATTCACAGAATCTACCCAGCACTCCAAGGCCTGTGCCCCCAAAAGAAAAAAAAAACACGCTTACCTTAAGAGCAGCCTCCGCAGTAGCCGCCGCCGCCGCCGCCGCCGCGGTCTCTTCCACGACTGCCTCTTCCGGCGCGACTTCCGGCTGCCTGGCCGTCGGCGGGTTCCGGTCACCCGGACCGGCACCCGAACCGGCACCCGAACCGGCACGAGAACCTTGCTGTGCTGCTGCTGCTGCGGTTCCTCCGCGGCTGCTGCTGGATTGCTCTCCACCGACAGGGGCAGGGGTACGATTTGCCGATTGAGTTAGGAGATTGGGGTCAACCGGGGAGCCGCGTGTGGAGGCCCACTCGGAGTTCATGATGACGGGCTCGTAACCGTCCTCATTGGCGGCTGTGTCTTGTTGTCGTAGAGGGGGGGGGGGGCAAGAGCAACAGAGAGATGGAGCCAACATCAGTGTAAGAAGCTTGGTTGCGACGGTCAAGCGCAAGGTGACATGGCTCGTAATCGTCCTCGTCGGCGGCTGTGTGTCTTGTGGTAGGCAGGGAGAGCAACAGACGAAGCAGACGGTCGCACCAACGTACAGCCTTCTACAGCGCGGGTGCCCGGATTGGAACAATCATGAAAGTTAATGCGTTGAACAGCGCAGTCGAAAGCGCTTGGCACAAACCCGAACTGTAGGGGGGCCCTTGACTCTGCGTATCATTGCAGCGGTCATGTGGCGGCGCGTAACATTAGAAAAATTAAATACAAACACCGAAAGTCTACCCGTTCGAAATATACCCACAGTCGAACGGGATATGGTGGGAGTCTTTCTAGTGAGCTTTCTAGTGAGCGGAGGAAAACCGGCTGGGTACTGGACTTATTCCGAGTCTTTGTAAGTCGTGTGGCGCCGCGTAAACATGAGACAAATCGAAAAACAAACAAACGATAAGAAATAAAAAAAGCAAACCACACCGTCTTGCTCGCGCCCGCCATCAAGGGAAAACCTCCCCCGGCGATGCTGGTGGCGCCGTTGAGGCAACTTGGTCGTGCAAAAAATATCGAAAAAAAGAGAAAAACACAAACCCCACCCTTGGGGATGGAACGGTCATCACCCCTGACGCTGCCGCCGCCGACAGCACCGGGTCCCGCGCCATCTTCCGCCATGGCGAGCCTTAGCTCTCTCTCTAGCCGGAGCTGTTTGGCTTCTTCCTCCTGCTGCCAGGGGCGTGATACCAGCCCTCCCCACGGCACCGGACAAGACGAGGAGGAAGCGTCTGCTGTTGACGGCCTGATGGAGAAGAGCCTGCCCGTGATGATGGCCCCCTGCGAACCGACAAGAGATCGCAAGAGAGTAGGAATATTGAAAAATGGTCAGGCAAGGACTAATCTTGTTGACCTAATACATCGATCTGTGAACCGACAGAGACAGAAAGAGAGTAGAAACATCGAAAAATGGTTAGGCAAGGACTAATCTTGTTGACCTAATACATCGATCTGTGAACGACATACAGCAGAGAGGAGGAACGACGAAACAGCAGGACAAGGGGCGTCCATTGTAAATCCGTGTCGCGAAGAGTGTGTCCGAGATGATGATCGTGTCCTGTGAACGAAAGAGAGCGAATAGGAGGAACGACAGACCAATACATGGAACAACAGCAGCAGACAACACCAGGAGCATCATTGTGGACACCAAGACACACCACTCTCAACAACGATGACGAAAACCACATAAAACAAGGGATGGCAAAGCTTACCCAGCCTAGCTCAAGGACCTTGTAGATCATCACCAACATAAACAACAAACCAGAAACTAGACTAGCAACAACTACACACAAGAGATGGCCAAGCTCTGTGTGGGGCGTACTCAAGCACTCGATACTGATCTACGGAGATCTAGCGGGCCTCGTGTATCATTGGTGGCATGTGTCTGTAGTGGAGCGATCTCCCTTCTATGCGTTGCTGGGCAAGCACGCTCTGCGCGTCTGACAACAAGCTGCCCGCCTCCAAACAGTAAGTAGGGTCTGCATGCCCCCCC